TGATCCTATCAGTCACTGGGAATACAATCTTCTCAAAATTTAGCAATTGGCTAAATGCATTAGGAAGCAGTTCATATGAGGTTTACTGGATTGATGCCCAGAATGAGCAGGTTATCTTAAGAGGCAAAGTTGGACATTCTAGGCTTGTTTCCACTCGAGTTTAAAAGAGTAAGGTAAACAGGGAGAGAAACAAAGCTGAAAATGGAAAGTCGGAAATTAAGAAACAGCTAGAAGAAAACAGAAAAAGCAGAGACAAATAGATGACAGTTGTTCAGTGACTAGTGATATATACTTGAATACCAAGAGCCTTGTGAATAAGACACACGAGCTGAGGGCCCAAATAGACACTTGGAATCATGATTAAGCCATTAGTGAAACATTTGTTCACTTCGCCATCCATTTCCATATTATCTATTATTGATGAAAATGCTGCCTTTCAGATGACACAAACTCTGTCTTTCCAGGTGAACGCGACAAGATCTTTTCTGCACAATTTAAACTAAAGCATGGAGTGCAAGAAGGAAACTATGTGTTTTCACATAATGCAAACAAAGTCAATAATATCAAGTTTTTAAATACCTGTTTTGTGCCCAAGTTTACATCAATCAATCAGAACTTGTTTTTTTTCTACCAAATCAAAACTTGCACATTTCAACTTTCCATAGACCAAACTTTCATTAAATTCTCAAATGCTGCTTTATTCTCCCTGGCCTCCAAGAGCATCAGCCCATTCCTTTTGTTCTTTGCTCACCCTTGCCTTACGTATGCTTGAAACCTATTACGTGACTGATATTCATTGATCTGAACTGTTAACTGTTAACTGTTTCTGACTCCACAGACTTTGCCTAACCTGTTGAATATTCCTCACGTTTTTGGTTCTTATTTCAGATTTCAAGTTCCTGGAATATTTTGGTTTGATCATTACTTCAAGCTTTGCTTTCAATTTAGAAAACATTTTTGCTATAGCTGCATTTAATATTAAGAAGTTTCTTCAATTGAATTGCATGATCAATTACCTTCTTACACCCTTCAGGTCACAAAGTGTCAATCTTTCAGCTGACCTATCTGCTGTTTCATTCAATCAACATCTATCACTGCCCACCGCAAACAATCTAATATCAAAAGCAAAATAATAAAACAGTAAATGAAATAAAGGTGATAAACTAAAAAATATTTTTGTATTACATACCTTTAAACAGCAAGACATTCATTAAAGTAGAAACAAATACTTGACTTTCACATTTATGGTTGCAATTTTATCTCAATTCCTTGTATATCACTGCCAAATTAGATCATCCCATCAATTAACAAGTAGCACCATAGCTCTACCAATATTATACAGAAGGAAATAGTTAATGATAAGTGAAGTATAATAACTGTTTCAGAAAGTAGACTGGTTTGCATCATTCATTAGTTTACGCCAGTTATATCAGGGTGCAGAATAAATTCTTCTTTGAATAAATTATGTTTACGGACTGAAACCGACAAGACAATAATATTCTAGCAAGATAACAATTGGGCAATAAATAGTTTGAAAGCTGGAGTCTTGCTTGACAACAGCATTTAACAAGAATGCTTGTGTGCATGAAAAATAACAAGTAGAACCCCAAGGAAAGTTTAAGTTAAGCATGGAGCTCGCACAAAACCAACATTCTGTCTCCAGCTAACAGTATTCAGAAAATAGCTTATTTTGTAGCATAGTTTACAAAATGAGTTAAAACCACCAACATTTATATTCAAGTCCATTTAGCTCCAACTCTGTTGGACAAATATGGAATCAAATTTGGATGGAAATAACACACTCCAAATTGAGATTGAAATTTGAACTTTTTTTAAACAATTGAGTTGTCTAATTCCTCCAGAAAAGTTGGAAAGTTAGAAGTCATATCATAGACCAAAATTTCATCAAATTCTCAAATGCTGCATTCCTATGTCATAAAAGTAATTTGGATGTTTTTATGATCCTGTGCCATACTGAGTTACTTATTGAAGTTGACAAGCACTTCAGTGCTCCAAAAGGACTTTGGAATTAAGTCAAAATTATCCACCTCTAGTATCATCAGAACTTTACGAGCTTTAAACACTTATAATTTGTTTAGGTTCATAGAACCTTACAAAAGATGACTATTTAGACTATCATGCCTCTGCCAACTTTTTCAAAGAGGCATTTAATTAACCCCATTCACTTTCTCTTTCCCCATAGTCTTGCAATGCATTTTCTTTCAAAATTAAATGTTTGGAAAGTTACAATTCAATCAGCTTCCACTGCCCTCATTCTGTGACTATTCTATTACTGTATAGTAGTGAAGTAATTTATTTTCACACTCCCAACCAAAATAATAATTTGGCTTGCAGTTCCTTTTCTGTTTTATAAAAAAATTAATGTCATATACAACAAAACCTTTAGGCATTTAAATAACTTTTTCTGTTAAAGATAAAAATGGGACAGAAGAAGCATGTTTCCTCAACTGAAGTAATTGGCAGCAAAAAGCTACAGGCTGTTTTCAACTTGCGACTTTAGTAGTGTGAATAAACCACCAGGGGTGGAGGGGGGTTGTTCCTGTGGCACTGCAGTAGCTTCCCTAACCATGAACCAGTTCAAATCCCACCTCTCCAAGGATGAGTTATAACATCTCTGAACAGGTTGATTAGAAAAATAGATTACACTTTTCAGTTCAAAACCACATAGGGTGGGCCTCTTTTGGCCCAGTGGTAGTGTTCTTACCCTATCCCTATTCCTGGACCTGGTCCCACCTGCTTCAGACGTGTGTAATAACATCTCAAACAGGTTGACTAGAAAAATAGGTGAATTAAACATTTAGAAACTACCAGGATAGGGGTTGTCTTGTGGCACAGTGGTTATATCTTTATACCTGGTCAGGTGACCTGGGTTCAAGAGCACCCCCCCTGCTCCACAGGTGTGTAATAACATCTCTTAACAGGTGGATTAGAAAAACAGGTGATTTTTTCTGTTTTGAAACATGGTTTAAAAGAAATCTAGTAACACGCCAGTTTTTATTCCATTGAAATCAGGAACAGGCAACCTATCCACAACACCAAAATCACAGCCAAACAGCAACATTAAAATGAGTTCCTATAAATACATCAGATTATAGAACAAAGCTGGAATATTTCATGTTTTGATAAAAGACCAAAGGGCAACTGACACTAACTTTTATAGCTGTGTAATACATAATGTTTTTAAAATGATGCAATGTGATTATCTATGTTTGAATGATGACTGTATATGCTGTCGAAGACAAACTACATTCAGAAAACAAGACTAACTCATTTTAAACATTCAATCCAAAACTGAAGGAATCAGTCATAATGAATGTTTGCTTTGTATTTCAGAACGAAATTGTGCATGTGTAGAAGTAAAGTTTTCTTTGGATCAATGGATAGTCACAAACAATTACAAAGTAGCAAACCAAGCACATGATTTGTTTCAGAATGATTAAGTTGCAAGAACAGAGGGACTTATTCCACATTTCCTCACATCATAGATTAAGCACAATAATATACACAAGAATATTACCAATTGTGATGCAATTACTGTAGGTTCTTTAAGAAAAATGCAATAATTTAGTTGTTTTGTTAACTCCTGCTACCCTGATTTACTTCACTCCAGAAAAAAAATTTCACCAAGTCCTTAGTCCATGAGAAGTTGTTGTTCCAATTCATCCCTTCCATCTATCAATTTACTCAATCCTCTCATTTCACGTTGCTGTCTGGCCAGGATGTGTTTCTCCACCTTCAATGTCAGATGAGGAAATGAAAGGTTCACAAATTAACCTCAAAAGAAACCCTTAAAAAAAATGGCACGCTGAGCCAAGTTTTGCATCATTTCTCAAAGAATATATCAAAGACTGATCATTGACACAACAATTATGAGAAATAATACTGAACTTCCTATTCTCAATCCTCTTAGCGATCATCCATAAATCTCACATATCACATGGCCAAGTCTCTCAAGTGCAAAACATTGACACATAATGGGATAAATAACTAGTTCCTCAATTTTTGACAATATTTATTTACAGGAATCATCACCAAAACAGAATTAGCTAAAACAGCATTCAGGCTACAAGGTTAAAGGATACATTTGATGGATGTAAACATATTGATAAAAGGAAGAAGATTGGAATGGAGTCAGAATAAACTCTTAGAATTCTTAAAAAATACATTATTCTTGTCTCATTCACATTTGTGAAATATGCGACAAGTTGCTTCCTACAAATAATTTCCAAACAACACATGCTTTGAAATGAATTTGGTTGTTGCAGGGAATAAAAAGGTGCTAGCCATAAGAGGCAAGGGAAGTCAAGTTTACCAGCAGTGGTCTTAATAATAAAGAAGAGAACTGATGCCAATAACAGAAGAAAAATAACTCAAGTACAAATGCAATAAGCTCTCGAGTCGCATAAAGGACAAACGATACAAAATCAGTAGCACACATAGCATCTATAACAATAAAAAGTCTTCACGCATCAATGTTTCATGATTCCATGACTGGATGATAGTCTTTACACTTAATGCAAAGGAAGAAAAGTACATCTAAGGTAAGAAAACAATGCATGTTAATGCCAGTAATTTCAACTGTAAAGTAGTATCTCGGTTTCAAATTGCAACTAGTTTAAATGCCTAAAATAGTGTGGTTTTAAACTAAAGTTCTGTTACAGCTGCAGGTGATCTTGATTGTTAAGGCGGCCAAACCAAATTAGGATCAACAAGTCAACATTCCTCAAACATACCCTGTAAATTACTAATGGACTGTCTTGCATCTTTACTCTATTGTTCCTCCACTGAGCACAGCCACAATGAATAAAATTTCAGGCAATTTTCCTGGACCAGAAATTTAAATGAGAATGATATTTCAAATCCCCACAAAATGAGTTGCAGATTCTTTCTTTCTTCTGACAAACATGGATATATTTTCAGCCATTTTGTTTTACTAGCCAATATTGGAACATCACACCTTTGATGTCATAGTTGCTTACCATCATTCAGGTCCTGGAGTAGATTTTCTTGACAGGAGAAGTCTAATTTCACTTGAATATTCACTGTAAAAATAGCTATCTTCCCAGATTCAAGTGGAAATTGTGCTTGCAATTCTTCTAAGTTCCAGCTCAGGAAGTCCCCATACAGTTTTTCTGTGAATGACAACAGAACTTGATTTGTGATATACTGATATATTCGACCAATCTGTTAGATTGACCAAGTCAAGCTGGTAACTGTAATGAAGGTTATGCGCTGTTTTTAGGTCAAATTGATCAACATTTCTGCACGATCATGAAATCTGTTCATTACAGATTTCAGTACAGAAACTGAGTTAACTCAAATAAAAAAGGAAATAGAATTAGAAAACTTATAAAATTCAGACATTACAACTCCAGATGAAACAAACCAAAATGGTGATTAATAAGATTTTTTTTTTTTAAAATTTGTACTAAATGATCTAACAGATCTTTTCACTTTGAATCAGATATTTCACTTATTTTTATTTACTCCATGAACACAATATGGAACAATCACATATAGGGTGCTAGAAATGCGATTAAATAATCATTGCTTAGTTCTGGACCACATTGAGCATTAGGAAACCAGAGTAAAATGAATTGTTGTACCCCTTTTCAGTTGACAACATACAAGACAGATGCCATCCATACTACAGACAACAAGTCTCACAGTTGTAGAAAATAGTGCACTATCTCCAAATTGTTTTAAAGCAAAATATCTGATGTTTCCAAGTTAATGAATTCTTATTTCCATAAACATATGTACAGAAGATGCATCAATTTGTCTCAGTACAGCATCTAATTAATTACAAAATACTTTGCATCCAAGTTCAAGGCAGTGTTTGTGAAATGGGTAAACAACATATTGACTAATTTCCCAAAAAAGCACATTGCAGAATTGTACATGGACGAACAGTTGGGGAAAAAAAAAAAAGAGTTTTTCTTAAATACGGTACAGAGGGCAAATGGTCAAGGGAAGACAAACCATGTCATCTTAACAGTAAGATTTTGTTCAGAGTTTAAAATATGCCAAAACTAATGTTAACTGTGCTACTTACAACTCTGTTTCACAATGAAAATGTTTTCAACTACAGTATCTACAATTATCATCACATGGCCAACATTTCTCGGTTTAGTGCAAAACACGCACCCTCATCCCTGCCAGTGTTCAGCTTCCCACTCACCCTCTGTCACCTCAGAGTGTACAGCCTTTCATTCCAGATAATCTCCCAACACCCCCCACAGACCCCAACAGCATTCCCCCTTCTTGTCCAGATCCAGACAGCATTCCCCTTCTCCCCTCCCACAGACCCCGACAGCATTCGCTCTTCTACTCCAGACACTGACAGCATTCCCACTTCTCCCCCAAAGATACAGAAAGCATTCTCCCTTCTCCCTCACAGACTCGACAACATTCTTTTACGTTCCCCTGACTTGCCCCAACAGATTTCTTCAACCTCCATCAGGGATGCTGGTGGTATACAGGTAAATGTTACTGGGCTAGCAATCCAGAACCCCAAATTAATGGCCTGGTGACATGGATTTGAATCCCACGATGATATATGTGAAACTTAAATTCATTTGTAATAACTGGAATTAAACAAAAAACTAAAATGGTGACCACTGTCAATAATCATGAAAATCTGGCTCATCAACGTTTCGTTAACTGGGCTTTCTCTGCACAGATGCTGCCAGATCCGCCGAGCTTTTCCAGTAAATTCTGTTTTTGTTTCTGATTTTCAGCATTCACAGTTATTTCTTTTTTTTTAAATTAAGAGCTGCTAAGAACAAGCTGCTCAGCTGATCATTCCCAGTTCTGCCAAGAAATCTTTGTACATCAGTTCAGCATTAAGCCTACTTGTTGTTTTAAAATAGCGATTGAAGAAATATTGCAAGATTGTACTTCCTGACCAAACTGTGTCTGCGAGAGCATTTTGTTTAAAATCTGATATCGATATAGATTTAGATATAGGATATATCATTATTTACAATTATAGATTTATGGGGTACTCTTTGCAATCAGAAAAATGTGTTCTCATTTTATATTATCACCTATAGAAGAGAGACTACAGCTACAGTGTACTCTCCTGCTCTTGGTCATAACAGTGTCACAGAATCATTACTGTGCAGAAGAGGCCATTGAGCTCATGTCTACACTAGCTCCCTGAACATTTTTAGGTAATGCTAATTGCCTGCCTTTTCCATTTAACCACGCTTACCATTTCTACTTAAATAATTATCCAATATCTTGTCAAATGAACCTGTTTCTACCAACTTCCAGGCTCTGCATTCCATCCCCTAAAGACTTTTGCCTTGTGAAAAGGCTTTCTCCTGCCTCACATTTGCTTCTTTTGAAAAGCACTTTAAAATCATATCCTGAAATAAAACAAACAACTGCGAGTGATGGAGATCGGAAACAAATAAAAACAAAAATTGCTTTAGAAACTCAGCATCTGTGGAGACAAAACAGAGGTAACCTTCAAGTCCAGTGAACCTTCTTCAGAACCTGTTCTAAAGGATAATTCAATGAATGAATAATTCATGAAGTGCCACCTACATGCCTTGCCCATGAAGGGCTATGAATTCTTCCACTCAGTTGATCCAGAACAGAAAAAACTCTGAATATCTTAATTCCTTTCTCAATACTACACAATATTGAACCCTGCAGTTGGTGCAAATTAGAGTTATGCATTTAACATCTCCAAATCAATAGCATTTAATTACACACAAAACTATCACATCATTTTCTATGCTGGGGTTAAAAGGGCAAAAGCTCAAAGAACATAAGGCAACAAATAAATTGCTGACAAAGGTATTGCTTTAAGATTAAAGAAATTACTGTCATAAAGAGACATACATTCCCACTCTCAACATATTTATACTAACCTTTATTATTTACGGTCTTAGCAGAGACCTCTAATGTTTCGAGAAGCTCTGAACCAATATTCTCCAGTTTGATGGTCAGCTGTTGCAATTCCCCATTAAACAACTGAATAGATACACTATTGGATACTTCATCACCTGAGGATGGCAGCAGAATGTGTGCAGACCTAGAGTAAAAATATTTTTATCAATGTTAATTTACAATCAATTTTCTGCAAAATGACAGTTATGTTTTCATTATTACTGCTTAGCATTTATTTGAGGTTTAAGCTACCCAAAAGTAAATAAGTCCACAAAAAACTAAAATCAAAACCACATAGCATCTACACATATATATCTAATACTGTAAAATCTGAATGAGTAAATTACAACTTTTACAGACTATAATTACTCTTCCTTTAAGATAGGAGAATCCCACAAGGTCACCTGATACAACAGTCATAAATAAATAACTGATGTACCATATTCTTCAGGTGTTTCCTTTTGACCATAAAAATGATGATTACAGGTAAACGGTACAATCTTCAGAATTATAAGTGACCATAACCTATTAATTTTGGTTAACAAATATTACAATTCCTAAACATAAGTGGCACTTCTCTGTTATATTTGTACTTAGCCCGTAGATATAATTTAATAAATTAATTTGCAAAGTCATGCTCCCTTACAAAGCTTAGCATAATCTCTTAACCAATTGACAGTTGATTCAATGAGCACCATATCTTGTTAATTTTGCATAAACCCTAACAAATTGTACCAAGCTTTACTGTTGTAGTCATAAAAAACATATCATCTTTTTCAATTAGATCAATCAGCCAGGTCACATCACAATTATCCCTGCCACTCCATTTGGTCCAATTAACTATTAACAACTAACTGACCCAATCAAGTGACTGGCTGCATTTTAGATAACAGCTTTTATTTTAAATAACAGCTCCATCTGCAGGTATAACAGCTTATTAAACTGCTAGTTGTGGGTTGGAATCCAGTTTGTGTTAGAATGATCACAAAGCATATAAGGAAAATGTTGCATTTTCAGTCTTAAACCCTTTGTTTACAAAACACGAAGTATTACATGACAGAAAGGAGGCATATTTCTGCATGGAGTTGGTCCTTAGAATTACAATACAAGAGGGGTTTAGATAATGCCGCCTTTGAAAAGATCTTAAAATGTAGAAATCGTTCAAACAATGGGAAATGCTTTACAATTGGGAAGAATAGAATTGGTGCAGTGATTTTCAGCAGAATGCATACAGACGTAGAGTAAAAATATTTTATCAATGTTACGTTACAATCAATTTTGTGCAATTTGACAGTTATATTTTAGTTGTTACTGCTCAGCATTTATTTGTTTATGCTACCAAAAAGCAAATCAGTCCACTAAAAACTAAAACTTAAACCATTATGCGTTGCACAAAAATATCTAATACAGTAAAATCTGAATGAGTAAATTGCAACTTTACAGACAATAATTATTCCTTCTTTAACATAGAAGAATCCCATATTGTAACCTGATACAACAGTCACAAGTAACTGTTGTACCATATTCTTCAGGTTATTTTTTAAAATCAAAACAAAATAGATAATTATAGGTTTTAAAAAGGTAAATGGTACCATCTTCAAAATTGTAAGTGACTATAATCTATTAATTTTGGTTAAAAGATATTACAAATCCTAAACGTATAAGTAGTATATTACAGTCAACTTTGATGTACTTAGCCAGTAGTCATAAGTTAATAACTTAATTTGTGAAGTCATGAGAATGGAAAAGCACCGTACGTGGGAACCAAGTGAAAATTGTAGAGAAGACCAGGGTTCACAAAATACTTGGAGATGCAACAGGGGCTAGCACAGATAACTGCAATTTAGTCAGTGAAGTTGATGTAAGTAAGAAAAAAATGAAGTCTAAATCAGGGTTACTGCATGTGTATATGAATGCACACTGTACAGTAAGAAAGATTGGGGAGTTACAGGCGCAGATTGTTCGTGGAGTTTATGTTTTGACAATAACAGAAACTTAGCTCAAGGAAGGACAAGACTTGGGTGTTAAATGTTCCTGCTTGCAAGGTATTCAGAAAAAAATAGAAAGGTATTAGATTAACAGAAGCTTTGCAGTGCTAGAGAAAGAGAATGAATGTCTCAGAGGGTCCAAGAACAGAAACAATTTTGCTGAATTAAAGAACAAAAAAGGACACAATTACATTGCCAGGTGTAATTTATAGACCAACTAGTAGAAAGGATGTAGAATAAATCTGAGGGAAATTAAAGAGAAATGCCAACATTATAGGGTAGTGATAATGGAAGAAGTCAATTACTCAAACTTGGCGTACTTTTAATGTACAGGGAAGTGAGGGGCAAGTGTTTCTGGATTGCTTACATGAAAGCTGCCTGCAGCGGGTTGTTTCCAGTCCAACAACAAGAATACAATTTTAAACCTGGTTCTTGGAAATGATTGGCCAACAGATCAAGTGTCAGTTGGGAAATATTTAGGAGACTGCAATTACCATTTCGCAAGATTCAGGATGATGGTGGACAATGACTTGCAACAATTCAGAATCAGAAAAATCAATTGGTGGAGAGCAGATTTCAATGGGGCAAGAAAGCAGCTGGGGAGGATTAACTGGAATGAGAGGTTGGCATGAACAACTGTACTGAACAATCTACCTTCAAAGAAGAGATGGTTCGGTTCCAATCAAGGCATATCCCCTAAATGAGGAAAAGGAGAAATAAGTAAATCCAGAGCTCCCTGAATGACAAAGGAAATAGAAATTAAGATGGAGGGAAAGAAAGTGTGCTAATGACAAGTGTCAGGTAGAAAGTAAAATTGATGACCAAGAGGAATATTGAAGATTCAGAGGGGGGAAAATGATCAAGCAAATGAGAGAAGCAAAGAGCAATTAGGAGAAAAGACAGGGTGCCAACATAAATGTGTCCCCAAGTCTTCCACTTCCATATAAATATGGAAAGAGTACAGCTGACTAGAGATGAGGGAGGGGATTTACACCTGGAGGCAGGGGTTTAGCTGAGGTGTTAAAATAATATTTTGTATCTGTCATTACCAAAGAGAGATGCTACCCAGGCTATGGTAGTAGAAGAGTGAATGTGATCACTAGAAGGATTCAAAACTGATAGAGAAGTAGTGTTGGGCAGACTGTTGGCAGTTAAGAGTTGAAAAGGCATCGGGACCAGATGAAGTACATCCAGGGATTTTGAAGGGAGAGTGTGTGGAAATTAGAGGGGCACTGGGCACAATCTTTCAATCCACCCTCGAGTTGGGGGAGTTACTCGAAGACTGGAAAGTTGCAGACATTATAGCCTTGTCCAAGAAAGGCTGCAAAGATAAGCCCAGCAATTACAGACTTCAATTAGCAGAGAATGAGACTTAGTGGTGGAGAAGCTTGACCTGAAACCGAACTGAAACAGCCACATAAATACTGTGGTTGCAATAACAGGTTTGAGGCTAGGGGCAGCACGGTGGCTCAGTGGTTAGCACTGCTGCCTCACAGCACCAGGGACCCAGGTTTGATTCCACCCTCGGATGACTGTCTATGTAGAGTTTGCACATTCTCTCAATGTCTGCGTGGGTTTCCTCCGGGTGCTCCGGTTTCCTCCCACAGTCCAGAAATGTGCAGACTCAGTAGATTGGCCATACTAAATTGCCCTTGGTGTTCAGGGATTTGTAGATTAGGTGGGTTATAGGGGGACGAGTCTGGGTGGTATGCCGAGGGTCGGTGTGGACTTGTTGGGCCGAAGGGCCTGTTTCCACACTGCAGAAGTATTTGTAGAATCCCTACAAAGAATCCTACAGCAAGTAATTCACCTCCCCTTTCTCCTAATGCCCGTTCACAAGGCACAAGTCATGAATTGGACGGGGAATTCTACAGGAGAACACTCAAAGCTTGGACACCATCCAGGGCAATATAGCTCACCTGTTTGACAACTTAACCACACCCTACAGCATTCACTCCCTTCCACATACTTGCCATTTCTCAGTCCAAGCCTGACTTACAATGAAAAGAAGGTCATTGCTTAAGATAGCTTGGCTTGAGACAATGCTCTGAGAAACTCCTGTTATGACGCCTGCATGATGAGGCAATTAACTGCCAACAATCACATCCATCTCCCTTTGTTCGAGGTATGACTTCAACCTGCAGAGAATTTGCCCCCCAATTGCCAGTTATTTCAGTTTTGCAAGGGATCTCTGATGCCATACTCCATCAAATGCACCCTTGATGTCAACTCTCACTTCAGCTGTTTGGTCCATGGTTCAACCAAGGCTGTAATGACGAAAGGAGCCGAGTGGCCCTGGTAAAATCCAAACTGAGCAGGTTATTACTAAGCAAGAGCTGCTTGATAGCACTGTTGATAATACTTTCCTTCACTTTACCGAGGATCAAGAGTAGACTGATGGGGCACTAACTGCCTAGTTGGATTTGGCCCACTTCTTTGCACAGGACACAACTGGGCAATTTTCTACAATTATCAGATAGATACCAGTGCTGCAGCTGCACTGAACTAGCATTAATAGGGGCATGGCTAGTTCTAGAACACATCTTCAATGCTACTACTGGATGATGTCAAAGCCCATGGCCTTCACAGTACTCAGTGTCTTCAGGCATTTCTTGATATCCTGTGGAATGATATTTGTGGAAAACTGGCATCTGAGGTGGCAATCTCAGTAGGAAGCCGAACTGGATTGCCTCCTCCACACATCTGGCTGAAGATGGTTGCAAATTATTCAGCCTCCTCTTTTGCACTGACATGCTGCACTCTCCCATCATTAAGAATGGGGATATTTGTGGAGCCTCAACCAGTTGTTTGTTGTTTACTTGGCCATTACCATTCATGACTAGATGTGGCAGGACCAGGATCTGTTGTTAGCGGAATCAATTAGCTCTGTTCATTTCATATGCTTTTTGGCATGTAAATACATATGAACACATAGATAAGGAACAAGTATGGGCCACCTGGCCATTAAATTCTATTCTGCCATTCAATAAGATCATAGCTGACCTGATTTTAACCTCAATTCTATATTCCTGCACGTCCCCAATAATCTTTCATCCTCTTGCTGATCAAGAATCTAATTGTGCCTTAAAATCTTTAATCATTATGCATCCACTGCCTTTTGAGTAAGCTAATTCCAAAGACACTCAACTCTCAGAAA